AAGCGATTCAAAAAGTAATATGTAGGAAATTTCAAGATCTTCCGAATGATATAAAATTAATATCAATTTTTAAAGCTTTAAAAAATCTACATTTTATTTTTTTATTCATTCCAAAAGCTTGAGTTTGAAGCAAGTTATAGGCTCTTCTCTGCGTCTCTAGGTTCTTCACACTATTTTCTTTTTGGTTACTGTAACTTACAATGCTCCCTGAATTCTTATAGCTCAAAATGAACTCAAACACGCTGCCACCGAAAAATCAAAATCGCGAGACGCTGAAAAAGAATTTGGTAGGTCTAGAAGTCCGTTAATGTTTCGAAAAAATTCCCAAAATTTCAGATGGATTTCATGGCTCAGAACTCGTTGTTATTCTCAATATCAGTTCAAAAAGCAGATCAATTGGTGAGTGTTATCTCAAAAAAGGCTCCAAAATGAGCCCCAAAACTGTCTAAATCTAAACAAATTCCAATTTCCAGATCGATATTCTTGAGGAAATCAAGGCTGAGCAATTCGCAAGTCGATTGGGCAATGGGAATTTCGAAAATTCAAATTTGGATGAGACTACAAATATTCCAATTGTCAAGCGAGAAATTCCCGATGAGCAAGGGCGTAAACAAGACATGGTCCCTTCTCCAGAATCCGAAAACCCAGTAAATCAGACACCTCCGGAACCTTCTAGATCCCAAAATCCAAATCCAAAGAAGAGTTCTGAAATTCCAATTCCAGCTAGGTCGATAAAACAGGAAGTCGTGGAAAATGAATCTAGCCAATCCGAGAACAATAAAGGTCTCGAAAATCAACCTGTAGAACAATCTGGACGCCAGAAGAAGTCCCAAGGATCTGCCACTGTCAAAAAGGAAGTTTTGGAGAAGAATCGAGAGAATCCTAAGGATCGAAATGGCCTGAATTCTGGCCCAAATGGCTCAGAATCGATTCAGAATGAATTAAATGGCTCAAGAAGTGACCCAAATTTTTCACCAAATGGACCAATTTCGACTGAAAGTTCTGGACACGCTGCGACACTCCAGAAGAATCAAAATGGCTTAAATGGCTCAAAAAGTGGACCAAGCTTTGCCCAGAACAGGCCAAACTATGGACCAAATTTCTTCCCTCACAATGGATCGTTTTCTGGCCCTCCTGGAGTCAGCTTTGGCTCCAATGGATCATACGTTGGTCCATATGGTCCTCAACTGAGACCGAATCTCCATCGAAATGGTTTTCTATGGCCGAATCCATCGGATATTCCACCACCACCACCTCCTCCGCCTCTTCCGCCTTTCCCCCAAAACTTGGGATATAATGAGAACCAGAATCAGTTCTGGAGACCATATGGCCAATACCAAGGTGTCCAGAATCATAAGCAAGGACAAAAACGTCCTGGAAGTTCTTATCAGAAGAAAGCAAAAAAGAACAAAGAAGAATATAACTTGATTCTGCCGGAAAATGGATCAACGGACATGGTTAATTGGTCGGTGAGTGAAGTTTCGCGACTGTTGAGCTCACTATTTTGTCCTCCAGGGTTTTAGTTCGTTTAGAAATCATCTGAAAGCTCAAAATCTGACAATCAAATTGCGCTAAAAATCAAGTTTCTAGCACAAACTTGAAGCGAATTATAGCCATTTTTGTAAGCAAGAGACGCAGAGA